TATTAGTTAGTGTAAATTGAACAATATTATCAAACTTCAGAACATCTGCTCAACTGCGTAGGCAGTTATATTGTATTATATTTCGTTCGATAATATAATTTTTCAGCGAGACGTTTTTAAGCGTTTTTATATCGTGCTATTTCAACTGTTACACTACGTCAGCAATGATTTCACGTTGCGTGTACAGATATAAATTAAATAATTTAATGTAAAACCTATCCTATCTTCCGAATTTCCCACCTAAAACCGTGGTACGCACGCTCATTAACGGTATCAGCTATTTACTTTTATCTTTTTTTTTTTTTTTTTCAAAGTTACCTAAAATGTAATATTAGAATTTAGCTGCGATAGATTAAACCGGAGAAAACCAATATACTATATTATGTAGTACGCGCGTATAGTGTTTGCAAATAACTATTATACATTATCTAGGAGAAATCGTTTATCGATTACACCGAATAACAATCTCTTTTATTATTACAATGGTGTCTTACGGTTTTTGTCCTCCCACCCGCCCCGTGATTAGAGTAGCAGCCGTTTTAGATATCTTCGACAAGTCGGTAATATGGCATTACGCTTTTCGTTACAGACTAGTGCACTCAGTATCATGGAGTTCGTTTTTAATTATCGAGCATTATTAAATTTCCGCTCGGCCGAATCGATTCTATCCGCGGAACACCGGATAAATACTAGACGACAAAAAATACCTATAAATCGCTGCGCTCGGAATCTAATATTATGCGTGGACCGAGCAAAACTGTAAATACTCGCGTCGAGTAATTTTACGGCATTCGTGTGTATTTTGTTTTAGGTAAAAATCCGTTTTCAATTAAATAAAAAAAATATACCGGCCGGTTGAGTTGTATGTGTAGACCAAAGATTATATAATAATATTATATATTTTGTTTGAAAATCGAGTTTTTAATAACCCGTGAGAAATGGCGACGATACCGTTTAGAAAAAAAAACAAAAAAAAACAACGTTTTAAACTGTTTCGTAACGATAATCGTGTATGGTTTTTATTACTCGCGCGCGTAACCCAACCCGAAAATCGTCTCTTATCTCGACGTTTAATTTGAATTTGATTAAAAGCCAATTAAAAAAAAAAAAAAAAATCAAAAAAGATCGAACACGAGTATATTATTCGAAACGCTTACGCGCGACACGGAGGTATTATGTAGTATATATTTATGTACGTGTTTTTATACATTTAATACTATACTTATACAGGGTGACCAACTTATCGTGGACCGGTGATTTTATCGAAGGATTTTAAGCGAATTCGATTATGGTACCGTTTAAGGTTTATTTCATTTTAACAACATAATCAATTTATTTTACCCCTATTCCCTATACACGAAACGAGTACACACGTACACAACGTTGGACTATTGGACAACACCCTCTACTTTCGAACACGGATTCGAATATATAGAGAAGATAATATTATAACGCATTACACCCGTGATCGAACGGAAGATTGATATTCGAAAATCAAAAGTGCATACTAATTCAAAGCTTAAACGAGCCAGTAATATTATCTAAAAAAAAAAAAAAAAAAATCAAATTCGCTTTTAAATACTTCGATAAACCGCTCGTTTGTCGATCGCCCTGTATATTGACATTATTGTACAATGCGTGATGGATACCGGCAATGTAATACATTATTATCATTCAGGTAGGTATTTATAAATTAAATTCGGGTGGTTAACAAATTAGGATCGACTACGTGTGTGTGGAAAAATAAACGAATAAAAACGTATTCCGGCGATTTCTCATCCCGCGCGCATAAAATAATTTATGTAAAACAGGATCTCGTAAAAAATCGACCGGGCCCGCAGTCGTGTGCATACGTAGGTACGCGTTGTACACACACACGGAAGGTAAACCGGTCGTCGTCGCGTTGACATTGTGGTATATACCTACGTGTACCCATAGTCGAATCATCATCGTCGGATTAATATAATGTCTCGGGGATTACACGTGTACCGATATTAAACACAATACAATAACGCGGAGTTTTTTTTTTTTTTTTTTGTCGTTTCCACACGCGCCGTCAATTTTTTTCTCCCCAGATATTTCGTATACCTGCGCGGGTCCGTTTGTTCGACGACGGATTCGAAATTAAAACGTACAAAAAACATATCATTACGAAACATGCGCAGTTATAAATAGGCGCCGCGTGCGTATGCAAAGCGACGTGATACGCGCACGCAGATCGACGCGACGACGGTGTTACGATGCAGCAGACGGGTATAATACTCGAAAAGCGGTTTTCGATTTCGAATTTGGCTTACCCGGTGTAAAATATACAAAAATTTATAAACGTTCGGCCGACCGGTGGGCTCTCAAACAATACTCCAAGTGTAGTAGCTGGCATATTTTGGATAGGCGGGTGTTCCTGACAACTATCGGGACTCGGGATAGTCGGGTGGAAATATAGATATGAACGTCGTTATACTCTTTAGGTTTTAGATAGTAAAATTTAGGCGGAAAAAGTTTTCGAGTAGGGCGGTTGTTTTGAATTTGAAATTCTGCTACACCGTAAAATATAGTCTGGGCGACACCGCAGTCCGACAATTGAAAATAGATTTTACCCATGGACAGCAATGTTATCAGTCGAAAAACGCGAGCCAGAATTTGGCAAAAAAAAAAAGGCCTCTTGTCATTTTTCGATTGGAGCAAAATTTCTAGAAGAAAAGTCGTTTACAGACAGAAAAAATAAAAAAATAAAAAAAAACACACACATCGTACTATAGCAAAACCTTCGCTTCACTCAGAATCCAAAAGTTTCCGTATTAGAACGGAGACACGTCATACGCGCGTCGACTTTGCGTTTTCGCGTCGGACAATGCGCGGCCCGACCGAAGTCGGGTTCGATAATAGGTCGACGTTCGCCGCGGCGACGTTATAGAGCCGACGAGGCCGCGTACGCCAAAAGCCGATCGGGATTTATAAAACGTACGAAATACGCGCGGCGTCGCGTTGTCGTCATCGTCATTTATCGGCGTTTACGTTTCGTTCAATTAGCGATTTACGGAAACGCTATCTCGGCGTCGTCCATGTTAAACTCGAAAACCGTACGCGCCTCCTGGCGGATATTCCCCGGTCCCGTTTGAATCGCAGCGCGCAATCCCAACCGGCCGGGATCATCCGCGGTCAACCTGTACGACAGCAATGCCCCGTTTCGCACACGAACAACAATCGATTGTTCGAAACGGGCGTCTGTCGTTCCGCGGCCTCGCGCGGCTGTCACTACGGTATTCGGACGCGTGCCTTATCGTTCGTTACTCTGTTCCAACGTTATCAACGCCGATCGTGTGACGGGAGATAAAACAAATTTCCGACAAACCGTTAAAATCCGTTTATTTCGGTCTGTTTTTAACGGACGGGTAAGTCCCCGTGTATTCGCGTTATTCCGCCGTCCGTTTCCGATATCGGTTGTAACGACGCCGCGGCACGCGTCAACGGTTTTCATAACCGGACGACCGGCGCGGTTTTCGCGGCGAAGTACCGTACGTCACGCGTTTTTCGTTTCCGTCGTTTACAGACGTGCGATAAAGTTAAAACATGCGCACACGGACTACAAAAGCGCTCGCTTGGTTTTCGGTTTCGGAGCAAGCACGCCTATTAGAAAACCAAACGAGAACGGCGTTCCGGAGGGCGAGACGTTGCGTTTTCCCCGAACAGTAAATTCGCCGTTTATGAATAACGAATTTTTCAAAGTTTTTTTTTTTTTTTTTTTAATTTATCAAAACTTAAAGAAAAATACGTTTCAAAAAAAACACCACGTCTTCTGCAGCGTCGGGCATATTGTTTTCTATTAATTTCATAACGGGTACTGTTATTCTAAAGCTAAAACTAAGCGAGTTCCGCCTACAGTCTGAGCAAGCGTGTTTTTACCGTATCCCGTGTTCGCAAGACGGATTGAATAAATGTGCGTGTAACGTCTTTTTAACCGTTGTTTTCTGAATGGAGCATCGGTTTTACAATAATGTTTGTTTTTTTTTTTTTCTGTGGACAACTATTCTACCGGCAATTTCGCTCCGGTTCGCAACGATAGCACTTTTTCCGGAAGGTAATACGACCGGGGTTGTACTTTAAGAAAGTCGTTTTTTCGATTGCCCCGGGAGTTTTCCCAATAAACGGGAAAAACCGGGAAAATAGGTTCAGTATTAAACAAATATTATTAAAGAAAATATAATATAATGCATATATTTTACCATATTATGGCATTATGTATATTGTTGACAAAGCAACACTATTTACCGAACCCTGCTCAGAATCGTTTTTCGTCAGCAATGGCGAATCGTTGCGTACAGATATACGTTTAATTTCCTCTCCACTACCTTCCCAACTTCTCACATATAAGAGCGGTCCGCCCGCGCGGGCGAAGTATGTCCGTCTTACTAACTGTGCGACTAACGAACCCAGAACGGTAGCTAAGCCCTTCTGGCTTCTTCAATTCGAATTCACCCGCACAAAAAATAAAATTCGAAAATTCCATTTTTAAAATTTTAAACTGTTATCTGTTGAATTTACATATAAGTGTGTATTAAATTTCGTTTTTACTTTTGGTCCTCTTCCCCCGGAAAGAAGTGCGAGAAATCGTATTTTTTCGTTTTTTTATATAATTTTGTTGCGCATGCGACTTTTTCACGCGGGCACGTTTGCGAATTTTAATTCGTTCGCATTAAAAACACTGTGCGAAAATGGCCCTTCTCCCGCAGGACCGAAGATTTATGCACCCCCTTTGTATAGTACACGAGAATCGGCGCCGTTAACCGTTACAAACAAGCACGACCACGAACCGCGCACAATGCACCGGCACGGATCTATGTAGTCGGCACACCCGAACATTTACGTGACAACTAAAACAACCAAAATATTGTAACATTCGTACAATAAACCGCGTCCGTCCGAATCGTTTACAAAGACGCCGGGAAATCGCCGTCACGAGAGCAAGAATCGGGCACGCCTTTTCAACCCGCTCACACCTCATGAGTAACGATCCGGCGCCTAATGTGCGAAAAAGTTGCCTGGTTGTCCTGACCATCAGACATGTCACGCAAGCATGTCCGGAATTCCAGAATACAAGAAATACCGTATCAATACCGGACAGACCGGAAGGAGCTCTCAACGGGGACGACAGGGAGCCCCCTGACGTTCCCGACTAAAATTAATATTGCGACACCGTTATCGTTAACCGATGCGTCGTGTGCAAAAAAAAAAACAACCAAAACAACTTTCGTGTTATATTACGCTGGTTTTCGTGTAACGCGCACAACGCCAACAACCCCAGAAACCCGACAACGATGAGAAAAACCGCGTCCGCCGCGCAATACGACGGTGCGAGTTGGCCGTAGACTTATCGACCGCGGCCGTTGCGATGACACGGCGCAATAAAAACGTTACCGTGAGTGTCGCGCGTTTTCCAGACGTCCGCTCGAAAACCCGTGCCGCGGGGCGGGCGTTCACGGGCAGGCGGGCACGTGCCCGCACCCGCGTCTACCTGCCCGTTATGCCCTAACCCGACCGACGGCCGGCCGATTAATCGCCACACGGTATCCCGCACGGCGCGTTCGCGCGTAAACGCGTCGCGTTCGTTCGGTGCTGTATTCCCGTCTACCGCCGATGTCGTACGAAACGCGATCGCGATCGTACGCGATGCCGTTGCGACGACGGCGCGCTCGTGATAACGACAGAACGCGGGTACGGCGAGGGGCGCGGGGGTCACGAACGAAATAACGACAACACAATAATGCGTTTCCACGGTCCGGGGCCGTCGCGAAACGCGCACGCGATAATACGCGCGGCGCACCGAACTAGACGGTGGTTTTTTATTTTATTGGCCGGCGACACGCGACGGTAAACGGCGCGCATTCTTCGGTAGCCCGGGCCGCGCGTTCGGGAGCCCGAAAACGAGCGCCGGGGGAGGCGGCGGCGGCGGCGAGGGGGAAAATAAAAACAACGAAAAACACGCGACATTCGAAAAAACGCGCCCGTGTACGCGCGCAGTGGGTATCCGCGCCGCTCTCCCCCCCCGTCTCGTAAAACGCGCGGCGAACGAAAAAAATATCGACGGGGGAAAGAAAGAAGAAAAAAAAAAAAAATCCTCCCGACCTCCTCGCGCACGCAACGCGCGTAATTGCCAATTAAGGTCCCGCCGCCGACACCACCCCCTCCCCCACTTACCCGCCTCTTCTGCGCAACGACAACGACGATAATAATATTATTACCGCGAGCGTACGCGGAGGCGGTCACGGGCGGTTTACGGGCAGACCGATTTGCGCGTTTTCGCGCGATAAACACGCCGCGACGGCGCGGATCGCTGTTGAAAACCGATCGTTCCCGCGCGGCAGTACCGTAGGGTTACGCCGATCAATTTATTTACCGACCGGCCGGCCGAACGGGTGCGCGCGGGATGACAGCGATAGTGTTCGGACCGCGTCGGAAACGCGAGAAAAATAACCGAAAACCAAAAAAAACCTTTTGTATTGATAATGTTACTACACGATTGTTCGAATCGAGAAAAACAAAAATTCAAGAATTCGGAAATCGCCTAATTTTTCCAACAATATACACCGAGATTTATTACCTAACTATATGGACTTCTTCGATACTGCGATCGCAGTGAGACCGAGTACGCGTTCTATCAGATAATAATACAAGTTATTTATTATTATTATTATTTTTTTTTTTTCGTGAAAATGTAATAGTATAATATTATGAACAGCGGTAATACTGAACAAATGCCGTTTTGGAACCGTGTTTGTATATACCCGCCACTGGAGTCGAAACGGACCAAACGAATTACACACAATATTATTGTTTTCCGTTTCGGAATCGATATGATGTATATGATTCACTAGTGGCGGGAAAAATTTGCCGAAGTCCGATAGTCCGGATTTTCGAACCCGAAATCCGAAAACCGAATTTTCGATTTTAAAACTTTGATTTTCAATTATTTTAGGCGTTTTTCATCAAAAACTAATCGCCACAATACATTTTGAAATTCGAGTGTTTAGAAGTCTTAAATCCGGATTATCGGATTACCGGATTAATGTCATATACAACTAATATTCACTTTTGTAACCTCAGGGGGACATATGATGCTATGGGATTAGCGAACCCGGAGCCCCGAGTTCCTACTGATGAAAAGTCCGGGTGTGTGATTCCATTACGGTATACGGTACTGTTTATGTAAGATGGAGAAATCACCTTATCGTTAGAAGGGACAAACGAGATTGTGTCGGGTCGACAGCCGGTGTAAAACTCTGTCTAACAGTGTGGGGAGTTCTAAACGAGACGTGGGCAGACTGAGTGGTTCGATCATCTAGAGTGATAGAGAAATAGAGAGATTATAAAATATGAGTTTGGAGGAACGGGACAAGACAGTTAACAGCAATAAGTGGTGAGGTAATAGGCAAGGTTGTAAGTCGTAAGTACCTAGGATCATTTTTACAAAATCGCTCGGCTATGATGTGAAACATAGGATTAAGCGTGAAGAAGCGTCAGGTGTTTTGTGTGACAAGAAAATTCCATTGGAATTTAAAGATAGGATAAGGAATGAGTACGTCAGAGGTAGCTTAGGCGTGCAAGAGAAAGGCATGGAAGGGCACGGAAGAGAGAATAATGAGAAACACTAAGAATTATAATCAAAATAGACGATTTGGAACGATATGAGGACAGCCGGCGTATGAGAGGTGGGAGATCGGGCCAGGTAAAAGTTTTGGACGAGGGTGGCCGACTCCATTGAGATGCACCGGAGGCGAAGGAGAAGAGCAACTCCTGGATGTTTTATATGGGTAAGTAGGTACCTATGGAACAAATGTGACATTATTAATCCCGAAGAATACGTTTTATTCGAGAATCTACAACAGCACGCGTGGTCTTAAACATGCTGCAACATTATAATAACAGCACAATACAATAATTAATTACGTTTATAAAAAATTTTATATTTACATTAGGCTTACCAATACCGCCGACGGTAATAATATTTGTGTTCATATCCTTCCGACGACGATGAACAAGAGATAACTGCAACTTTATGTAATGATTTCAAATACGTGTAGGTAAATAACACAACGGTCGAAAAGAATATTATTTACATAATAATAATGTATAGGCACCAACAACAACTCTATATACCAACAAGACGTTCAATGTGATAGATTTCTATTTGTATAACGTTATTATTTTATTGATTAGATAAACGTATCTATGTAATACAATAAAAAATCCCGAGTCCAATTAAACAATAATATTAGGTTTTATTTATTTTTTTTCAAACACAATGGGTAATACGTTTACACGTACGAATCACGCGTAATCATAATACCACTAACTAATACAATAGACAGATGTAATTAAAAAATTAGAACAATATTTGTATATCGCACGTATATTATAATAGGTATGTAAGTGTATATAAATAGATATTTTTTATCAGTGGACAATAAAAGATGCGTAGGTAATTGATTGTGCAACCCGGTTTGAAACACATCTAGGTATACAATATTGTATTATAAAGGAAAAACACAATCGTACCACTCGAGCGAGCAGTTTTTCCCCCGCTGCGATAACGGAAAAAGCGAAAATCCTTGGGAAAAAGTGAAAACATTTGTGGTTCCCCACACCCGACGCGCTTTTGCGTGTAAAAAATCTAGGGTTTTTTCCTTTAACAAGTTTTGACAAAAATTCATCGCGAATCGGTGGTGGTCGAAGCAATATTAGAACATTCAAGGTTGTGTTCTATGATACCCCTACAAGTTGTAAAGCAATAGAAGGTGCTAAATCGCGGTGACACAAAGTGCGTAGTTCAAAATTGGAAATGTGTGGTATAGATTTGAGAAGTTTGTATTAAAAATTAAAAATAGTACTTTTAATTATATGGGTACGAGACAAATTTGTTATAGTTAATTGCATTTTCTTTATAGGTTACGATCATTTTATTGTAAGTTTTTTCGTACATTTTCTTCTACGTTAAAAAAATCTGTAAACTCTCTTGTATACCAGTAACAGTTCAATGGACGTGTGATATGGGCGATAAGGATTGACTCACAACTCTTATATCTACTCTTAGCTCCATTACACTGTTAGCTCGTTTCATTATTCATGTGTGCCTTATACGAATGTCCAAAATCACCTCCCCCCTCTTACCTTCCGTTATCTTTTTCTGTATCCGCCACTGTCTTTCGTAGTTTAATGAATCGTTATACAGATATTTATCGATTTAAAACCGTAAAAATATTATGGAATACAATTTTCGTAAACCACGGTTCTGATTGGAACGTTGCTATTAGATAGGTAGGTAGGTAGGTAGGTTTATTATAGGTATTTATTTTACACCTTTAGTAAATGTTACAAAATATACAACACACTTAAATTTGTGAAATGAAACGCGATAAAAAATAAAAATAAATAAATAATTAAGTATTATTAACGGATATCAGGAGAGGTATTATGCACTTATGAGAACATAAAGATTTACAACCGAATAAACTATGAGTAAATTATACAAACTGAAAATGTGAAAATCATCGGAGTTACGTAATAAGTCAATGAAGTTCATTAGCGCTACAACGCAAATCGATGAATGAACGGTTCGATATTTAGGTCAGACCCGATGAATACATTTTTATATTTTATTTTTTATTAATAATAGAGTATTAGGTGTATGTTGAAACGCTGCGTATTTACGGTCTTGATTATTAAAAATCATATATTGCGTTATAATAATAATACTATATGCGAAAAAACAAACTGTTCGATAAAAAACAATTTCCATTGCCGAAGACTTACAATAATATTAATGAGTATATTTTGCAAATTAAAAATGTCAGATAACTGAAATAAAAAAAAAATAAACATTTTTGAATTTTATACTTTATTATACTCTCCGCGAATTCGATTGCAGTTTGCAGGACTCCGTTTACGACCACGGAGTTTATATGGCTCCCCGCCCTCACTATCGCGTAGTACTTTTTAACCGCAAAAATACTTTGCGTAAACAATCACCTCGGTCATTTTCGCGGTGTACTTACACGCAATGATATCGATTCTTATAAATGATTTTCATTTCTCCCCCGTTCTCTTATGCGGCCTGCGTCGCCTGTTATTTTCGAGGAAACCACTTTTGCTCGAGTAATCTTCATATAGGTACGCGAGGACC